TTTTTTCACATTGCTGGGGACGTGTTGCTCACAACCGAGTTTGATCGGGAAGCCAAAATTGCTCTGGATGGCGAAGCCTGCTTGACTGAAACAGAAGTTTCTTTCAAAAAAATGCTGCTTGCTGCAACTTACGAAAAATGTTTGCATCGCCTTCAAAATAAGCGTCGCGCATCGCGCTTGGAAAAATTTTCCCGATCCACTTCGACCGAGAGTTGGAGTGCGAAACTCATGTCTGTTCTCGAGTTTTGTTGAAAATTTGCTCCTAATTGGAAATATGCATGTTGGCAGTCCGTGTAACCACCCTTTCGAAGTTTTAGCACAGCAGCAGTGTTTTACTGATTCATACAGTAAGCATACCGTAACTTCACTCTTACCTCTACACTGTGCCATGGTCTTTCTTCGAAATTTTTGCTCGGCTTATTGCGTTGCGCTAAACTGATGAGTTGCTGCGTTTCAGCAGCTGTCGGCGCCACTTCAGATGCCTTACTACTTCGTTTTGTTGCAGTCGCCGCTGCTACTGACCCAGCTGCTTGTCGCTTGATTAGTTCCTAAATGTGCTGAGCTTTGCACAGAAATGAGTGCATATGCAAGCAGCATGGTGCTTGGCGTTAGTGATTCAAAAAGAAACTTCTTGCTGTATAAAATATTTTAAATGCAGCCTTAATACTTGCACAGTTAATTCCGCGATTTTACCACCTTTCGACGGCGCCAACATTATCAATTACTGCTTGGAAAACCACTCATATTAACGTCTCTGGACAGGGGTACGGCAAATTCCAGTTTGCAAAAACGCATGATTGTAGCCGCAACACCGGTGCGCATCGCATTTTATCAGTACAAAACGCATAAAATATACATATATATGTATATGCTGAAAAAAGTTATTACCTGTGATTGCTGCTGAATCAACACAGAGGCTTGTTTCTGAACGGATGGTGGTTGTGCTGCGAGGATTGACTCCAAAAGCTCTTTGACCATTGGCCGCGAATCATAAAGTGGGTGCGCTCTGATACGAGCGACCAACGTCATGCTTACGGGCCCTTTCTCCATTTGTTCCAGGACCTGGAGATCGAACACACTTTCAGTAACATGCATAAAAGCATTCTCGAAGCAAACAGTTGCATAATAAGAAGCACGTTGTAGAAAGAACGGTGCCGCCGAAGATTTTTGCAAGTTTTACTGAACGAACAGGATCGAAGGGTATGCTGCATATTGGGGTGCGTAATTTGCTTTGAGATTAACTGTTTGAATGGAGTCACACGCCGAGACAAACACACAAAAACACAGGCATGATTTTACGATTTTTTTCTAATTTACATAAAAATCTCACAAAAAATCTGAGAAGTGTACCAACACTAGACTAAGAACTAACTGTAATAATAACCTGATTCATAAGCACGTTCAGTGAGTCACTTTCCATTCGCCATGTTTCTGTGGATCTTCTAATTTTACTTTCTGCATACGGATGCTCGCTGTGCAGCGGTACAAATGACGGTCTCCTGGTGTTTTTGGCGCTTTCCTTGGATCTTTCGCTATAAGTTCAAAATCTTCAGAAACGAGCTTTTTCAGACGGGGAATGCCAATCATAATGCTTTAAATTAATACGCACCTGATTTTGGAATTCGAAGTGACTGGATCATCGGGTTGTTCAGGACTTCCTCGTTCACTCCTGTCTTTCGCTTTGGTGCCGTTTCCTATGTGCGACGGCTTGAAACGATAGATCTCTCTATCAGTTGCTGCCTAAAATAGAAAAAATTTTTCTCGAGTGATAAAAATTTACATATTTCTGTGCATCAATTGCACGATCAAGTCGTATAAGATTATAATTTTCCACAGCTTTGCCTCATTTTCCGCTACTGACTTATGTATAGTTTAGTAATAATGATTCATTTACCGTGCTAATTAGATTTGGGAGCTTTTCCTCAGTCGGACGGTTATCCTTTCTGACATTCTGCAGTCGTGATTCGAGTCGTTTCAGTCTTTCTAATGGCTCATAATATGTGCCAGATTCGTCAGTCGGCATTCGCTCTCGTTCCTCCTTATGAGAACGCTGCAAGCAAAAAAATTAAGTTGCACAGCTGAAAGACGAAGTAAAAAAATCAGGCCTAGCTGTTGCTGCAGTGATATCCAAAACAGCATACAGGGTCGTAGCGTAAACTCTTTTCCGCAGCGGTTAGTGCAGGCACTTCGCTACCATCCGTCCTCCTTGCCTTTGGCGGTTTGACTGGTGAGCTTTCAAGGTATTCTTCAGCTTCCTTACGTCTTCTGCGGAATTCCTCAATTTTTAACCTAAAAATAATGGAATAGCTCAAACGCTGCTAACACGGAAACCGTATTCAAGCGGTCTAAAAATCAAAGAAAACCGACCTGGTGGAGGCACTCAAGTGTCCAAAGTCCATAAATACATCTGATTCATCGGCAAGGTCCTGCACTACCATTGTCTCGGCTCGTTCGGTCAGAGGAGTGTGATCGACAATCTAAAATAATTACAATTTTTGCAGCGGCAATATTTTGCAGCGAGATGGTGCACTGTGAATTCCGTACGGTATTGAACTGAATCATACCTGATTTTCAGGGAGCTCCTGGATAACTGGCATATTTTCATCTAAATTAAGCCACCAATGGCTGGCAATTTCATCGATGTCCGCTCGTTTTTCTGGATTAACTCGCAGCATATTCCTAATCAACATTGAGGCCGCTAAAATACTGTATAAAAAGCATGTGCCAGTGAACGAAAATTTTTTTCATCTCGGCTTTAGCACTCCGTAAAACTGTCGACGTTTCGGTTCACGCTATCTACGTACATCCCAAAAAATATGAAGCATTTTTCAAACATAACATAAATAGTACTTGATGGAGTGTCAGGCTCGAAATATGCGCCGCGCTTAATTTGTCGGACCATTCGGTTAAAATCACGGCCATCAAATGGCATAGACCCGTAAACAAGTGTATAGAGAAGAATCCCCAAACTCCAGCAGTCGACCTGAGAGATACGATTTAGCAGTTTATGTTCATGCACCTGTCTTTGAAATATAAAATTGCGAAAATGCTTGTTTATCAAAACTGTAAAATTCCAAACATATTAAGATCACTAATAAATGAGAACCTCTGGGCCTCTGTACGGAATTCCATTGATGATTTCTGGAGAAGCGTAGAGCGGACTGCCACAAAATGTGCTCAGCAAAGTGACATCAGAAAAATAGTTGGAAAGTCCAAAATCAGCAATTTTAGCATTGTTATCGGTGTCCAAAAGAATATTCTCCAGCTTTAGATCTCTATGCGCCACTTTGTGCTGTAAATGCATAAAATTTATCACATGCGTCGTTTCATTTGAATTATATAAAGTCAAATTTAAGAAACGACCAAATGACCGGCAGATTTGCAAATAGATACCTTGTGGCAGTACAAAACTGCTGAAGTGATTTGCCGAAAAATTCTGCGAGCCTCTGGCTCAGGAAGAGATCCGTATTTGCTTACATAATCGTAGAGTTCTCCACCACTTGCATACTCCATAACAAGAATGATTTTATCCCTATTTTCAAACACTGAAACGAC